CTCTCTCTCTCTCTCTCTCTCTCTCTCTCTCACACACACACACACACACACACACACACACACACACACGCACACACACACACACACACAAACGCACGCACGCACGCACACCTCTGGAGACAGGTGTGAAAGGCAGAACCTTGAGCCGCTGATGCACTGCAGATGTCTCGAAGAAGAAGGCTGGCTATGGGTTGTGGCAGACCTCCCAGCTATGACGCGAGATGAACGGGCTCCACCATCACCACCGATCTCCTCTAAACAGGGCTGCTCTATCCCCTCTACCGCGGAATACTCTACCTCTCAGACCGCTGGCGCAAGATTCCAGGATGAACTGAAATCCACCTTTCTATCACTGCCCCAGCCTCTCCTATATTATACTACTGCGCCAGCCACCGCCCAACTCGGCCTCTCGGCCTCTCGTCTGGGCAGTTCTAATAACCAACAATGATCCAAGGGTCCACCCTCGCCAATGTTTCAATTTAAAAAAAAAAAAAAAAAAAACAAGGATCCAAGGGTTCAGCTGAGTGGCACTTTGACCAAACTCTAGCCCAGTCCTCAACGCGTGGCCGCGGTCCGAACTCGGGTCAAGGCCCGTGCGTGCTGTCTCTGCAAAAGAGCCTGGAAACAAAATGGGACAGATACAGACCACTGGAAAACCATTCGGGCTACAGGGGGCCTGGCGAAAAATGAATCTCGCACAAATATAGGTCCAGCAGTCCATAACCCCGTGGGAAGAGGCCAAGGGGGCAGGACTGAACCCAGATGTTATGTCAATCCACTGGCCCTTCGTGCCCAACTGGGCCTGATAAACCAGAAGTCTTTTTTTTTTTTTTAAAGAGCCAGCAACAATGGCTCATGCAAAAATGTCCAAAGTACGGCCGGTGCCCTAGCGTCCTCCCATAGCTCGATTAAGCAAAGGGTTGTCGTTCTCGGTAACTCCAAGGACGAGAAACGGTGGAGGAGTGGGTGCTTGGACGTTGCTTGTTCTGTCTTCCACGCTTGTGGGAGGTATGGAAGATGGACCCTCAAAGGGAACGGTGGAGAGTTAGCCGAATCATTGGCCGCCCAGAATCGAAGAATGGAAGACCTGAAGACCTTTAATCGCCGCTCGTGTTGAAGACTACGTTGTTGGTGACGAAGTATTGAAATGATGGGTATATCTCGAAAACGTTTTTTCAGACTTAAGTTATTGATGCCTCAGATAATCTACTATAATAGACTATATAGTGCGTGGCTTGTTTTTGCGTGCTTTTCATTTCTTATTTGTTGCTTGGGATTTGAAACGGATGCGAGGATGTCTTCCACCGCCTTCCACCGCCTTACCGCACGATGTAGGTTCACGCCCAATCAACCCTCTCTCAGAGGAAGGTAAGAAACGTATCGAGGAGCTCCTGAGTGTTTGTTACGATGATGGAGTGCTCCCAGATTTTGGAATTCCCAGTCTAGTGGAGACCGGGGAGGATTTTGTGAAGGTGTCAGTGGACCAGGGCTTATACCAGGTTCACGCTAACTGGTTGAAAGATCACGCGATTTCTATTTTCTTTGATGACGAGGCGTCATCTCTCCCTCCGGAAGTAAAAAGCAGACTCATACGCGTGTAGGAGAATGGCTGGGAAGCAGCAGGGATCTCTGGGGCTTTCCCGGTAAGAGGAGCCTTCAGAAACGAAGGTAGAAATCTGGCTACGTATGTAGCTTCCTCCAAACCAGTGGCGGACTGGATGCTTCGCAAGGGGAGTGATAAGGTGGAGTTGGATGGTCAACTTCACACGTTGACTTTCCGTGCATGGATGACGGAGCAGCAGCTCCATGATTGGAGAGACGTTATGCAACAAAAATGTTTTTGGTTACGTTGCATGGAGGTCCCGGTTTTTGCATTGGGTTTCTTAAAAAGAGCAGTCCAGGATGTGTTTGGTCAAATATTGAAAGTCCATCCTGCTTATAGCAACCCTTTGGAACCGGATCTCCGAAATGTTAGGTTTGATTAAGTCCCCTCTGTGAGATTGCGTTATAAGAAATGTCTACATATTGACTTGAAGAAGGACGGGCTAATCAAAATAGACGTTGTCTGCGCCAGCACCGCATGGTGCCATGTTTGTCGGTGTCACTTTCATGATGAAAAGGATCCCAACTGTCCTAAAAAGAAGGGCAGACAGGGGTCCAATGAGGACAGAGCTAAGAAGGACAAGAGGGTGGAAACGCCCCTTCCTACTTACAAGGACGCTCTAACCAAGGACATTGACGGAGTACAGAAGAAAGGGTTGAAGGAGGTAAGTGGGAAAAGGGGAGTACCCAGTAACAAGGGTGGTAAAGCCAGAAATCCCACAAACCCCACGAATCCGTTCAAAGGGAAAGGTATGAAGTCTGTCTTTGTCCCGAAGAAAAAAGACGGGGCGAGCTTCTCCAAGGAGCCCTCCAAAGAATGAAATCAGGAGAATGGGTAGAATTTCACGTCCCAGTTTACTTTTGGCGAGAAAAAGACCAAGAATAGAAAAGGTAAGAAGGCCAAACGCGCCAGCGAACCCACCCCCGCCAAGTCGGAGGGCGTGATTACGTGTGGCGGGAAGAGCAAGAGTCCTAGCCTGGTAATGGTCAGTTCTGCTATGATTATTACGGAAAAGGTAGACGAGCCGGAATTTTCTGATTCGGAAGTAGAAACAGATTAGGAGAAAATTTCGGATGGCCTAGTGGAACCCGGAATAGGGAGTTTGTTCGAATTGGAAACGGACCCTACTAAGGGAATGCAGATCCGAAGGAGCAGGGTAATGCAGATAAAGCCTTTGATTTTGCTATTCAAGGTCTCATATCGGAAGGACAGACGCTGTTTGAAAACGGCATCTCGCTCAAAAAAGTCAGGCTGAATAACGACTTGGCTAGACAGACAGCGGAGAGGGTGGGTTTGGCTGAACAGCCTGGGACGGAGAATGGTGTGAAATTTGCATCTTCATCCCTCTCCAAAAAGAGGGGCAAGGCCGGAGGCTCAGCGAGAAAATTGTTGCTCCTCGCTGGTCCAATGACCTTTCTTGGGAGAACTGATAAAGACTTACCTCCCCCTAAGCAGTTTTTCGTTCCCTTGATTGTGTCAGACTCTCCTCTGGGTATCTTATTGCTCACAAAGAAGGCAAATGATGAATCTCTCAGCATACCAGCGGTGGAGATCCCTTTTCTGCCTGCTAAAGACCAGCTGGCTTCTCTGGTACAAGAACATGTTTTGCATCTGACCGGTACTTGTGTTGTTTTACCGGAACCGAAAATGGGCAGGCATGTAGCTGTTTCCCATCAAGGGGAAAAATATATCCTACACTTTGCTTTTATGGGAATAAAAACAGTTACGGAAGCCTTTGGTAGATGGTGTATCAGGAGGGCCTATTGGCACCCTCTGGCCACCCTCTTGAAACCAAGGGATGCAAGCGCATCGTCCGTGGCTTTGACCGCTTACGCCTCAGCGAAGGAACTGTTGGTCTGGTTATCCAGGACCGACGCGGTTTCAGTCGTATCAGAGCCCAGGTTCAAGCTGGTGGTGATTGCCTCGGCTATGCCGGTCTCTTTCCCCGAGAATGATTCCCGTATCCAACATTCTGACGGGGCTGACCTAAACAATGGTCCAGCCCTATAAAATTCGTATAGCAAGTTGGAACGTGAAAGGACTCGGAGACACTGCAGAAACGAGAAAGCGATCTAGAATACCCGCTTGGATGCATAAAGAGGATATTCAGATAATCTGCTTACAAGAGACAAAATTAAACGTTGAAAAAATTGAGGAAATCAGGCCCTGGTGGCAGGGGCCGCAGTTCTGGGCCCCAGCCARGGGCTCAAGGGGGGGAACAAACGTTTTGATTAATAGAGATCTGGCCTGCAAAATTTTAGACTTTTATTCACACCCAGCTGGAAGATTGGTATGGGTCAAGCTGTCAATAGCGGACGAAGATTGGCCAGTTGTTACAGTTTACGCCCCGACGGATTATAAAGAGAGAATTTCCTTTTTCGCAAATTTACCGTCACAAATCCCAGACATGGAGAATTTAGCAATTCTAGGGGATTGGAATATGATCCTGACTCCCGGGTTAGACACTGTGACACCAAAAGCAATCCGCTAAGGGAAGATTCAAGTCTGTTAATTACCTTTTTTGAATCTCAGAATTTAGCTAAGCTACCAGTTGTCCGATGGCAGGACGTCCTGGGCGGACAGTCAGGGGGGTTCCGGACGTCCGGGCCTGGACAACTCCATTTTTAGCAATTAAAAGCACGAAAAAGTAAAAAAAAAAAGGTTTTTAATTTATTTTATTTTTTATTTTAAAATTCGAAGCGAATTTCGGTATGATTCCAAGGCAAAAGTTGTTCAGATTATTTTTCTGTATAACATACTTTTTTTTCAGATTTTTCTGAGGAACGTTTTTTTTTTTTTTTTTTTTTTTTTTTTTTTTTCGGGCTCGGACAAACTGCCCAAGGAGGACGTCCGACCAGTTGTCCGATCGGACAACCCCGGACGGTCAGGGGGGTCCCGGACGTCCGATCAGGTAACCTAGGAATTTAGTTGAT